CAAATTTTCTGATTGTTTGAAGAGTATTATTTCACTGCACTATTATGTGGCCAGAAAAGTCTGAAGTATGTGTCTTTATTTTGTTCTTTACTTTAAAATAGCATAATTAAAATGCACTAATAATATTGGACACTCTAAACCATGACAATACCAAACTGATTATTATCAGTTTATCACCAGTAGTAAGTTGTGGTTAAGTCTGTGTAAAAGTGAATTCCTAGTACAGAAGCTTCTCACTCCACTAACTTCAATAGACATCCATTTTTTGAATTATATATATAGCCCTGGCTGGGTGGCTTAGTTGGTTAGAGCATCATTCCATATACCAAAAAGTTTATGGGTTCGATGCCTGGCCAGGACACGTACAGGAGGCAACCAATTGATGTGTCTCTTCTCTTGTCTTCTCTTCTCTCTTTCTTTCTCTCCCCCAACACCCCCTGCCCCCTTCACACCACTTCTTCTTTCTCTGAAGTCAATAAACATATCCTTGGGTGAGGATTTTAAAAAAATTTTAATATATATATATTTTTAATGTATTCATTGACTGTTATTATTAAAGGTTTTAAGTGTACTGTCTCTTAGGATTTTATTTTAAATGGGGGCAATATGACCCCAAAGTTGATTTTAATAAAAAAAAACCTTAGTACAGTGTTTTGTTGCCCTCAAAGACTCAACCCTACCTGACAAAATCTTATTCTTTAACAATTGAATTTCTTTCATTAGGGAGAAATTCGGTTTCATTTAATTTAATTTACTGATTAGAATATTTAATTTAAAATAATCTTAAATTTAACGTATTTTTTCTCCCTACAAAGATGGTAATTTTAAAAAAGATTGAACCTAGCTGCTGTGGCTCAGTGGTTGAGTGTCGACCCATGCACCAAGAGGTCACCAGTTTGATTCCCAGTCAGGACACATGCCCGGATCGTGGGCCAAATCTCCAATGTGGGGCATGCAGGAGGTGGCCAATTGATGTTCTCCCTCATCAATGTTTCTATCTCTCTTTTTCTTTCCCTTCCTCTCTCTAAAAGCAATAAAGAAAAAAAAAAGATTTTTTAAAGATTGAGAAACACTGTTCTAGACTAATAGTTTCTTAAAACAGGAACTGTCTTAAAATATCTTTAAATCCTCAGCCATTAACATATAGCACTTTGCCCTGGACGGTTTGGCTCAGCGGTTAGAGCATCGACCTGCGGTCCAGAGACAACCAGTTTCGGTTCCCGCTAAGGGCACGTGCCTCGGTTGCAGTTTGTCCCCAGCCCTGGTTGGGGTGTACAGGTGGCAACCACTCGATGTGTCCCTTTCACGAAGATGTTTCTCTCTCTCTCTCTCTCTTCCTCTCTCTCCCTCCCACTCTATCTGAACAAAAAATGGAAAAATGTCCTCAGGTGAGGATAAAAATATATATATATAGCACTTATACTCTCCATAAATATTTAATAAATTCCATATTTTCAGTATCTGATATTCTGACAGTTTATAAGCAGCTGCCTGAGAGAAATTAATGCATATTTGAAGGAAAACAGCCTTTATGCCATTGGTTTGCACAAGCAATAGTAAGTTTACTGATTTACTTAGAAAAGACACATAGTATGAAGAACCAACACTTACAAGAAAAGGCAGCTTCTTCCTCAGATTAAAAGTAGTAGTGGCAATAGTAACAATATAACAAGAAGACTCTAACATTTCTTGAACCTTTGGGCCAGGCATATACTTTCCATGTACTAATTCATCTAATGCTCACATAATAGCTCAATGAATTGGGTGTGTTCATTATCCTCATTTTACCATGGAGTCTGCAGTTAATCACTGTGATTAGTATTCTGACAACTTTTCTAATGTCAGTCAATCTGATAACTTATTCAGTAACAATGTCTGTGAAGATATTTTCCTGTAGTCTCATTTTGATTTAGAAATTGCAATCATCCCATCAAATTTACAGCTTTGGAAATTCCAAAATTATTAAAAACACCCACTCCCTCCCTACTTTAAAAAAAGTTTTTAAGAAATTAATATTTATCAGGCAATGATTATTATCCAGCTTACCTATAAAAGCTCAAGTCATCCTGAGTCACCATCGCCTTCTGGTGTTCAGAGCTGGAAATTTTATAGCCTAGTGTCCTCCTCCACTGCATTCTTTCTCCCACCTTCCACCGAAACAGGAAAGTAGTAGTCATGAGAACGCTCTTAGAGTGAAGGGGGCCTGTTAGTAACTATGCCAGGATACCACCACCCAACTGAGACTGTCCCGGGAGAACCAGCCTGTATGATCTCTCTGCTCCTGCTGCTGCACCCTGGTGCCCGGCCTGTGCTCAGCTCTGAGCCATGACTGAGCCATGACTGCCTTACTGCTGTGCCATAAGCAACAGAAACTTTTGAATCCGAAGAATCTAAGGATTATAAATGACCTTTTTGGGTAGATAAATCACAGATTTTCAAATGTAAAAGTAACACTAATGATTTCCAGTAACTGTGTTACCAGTTCTCCAGCCTAAATTTGTGAAGAAGTTTTTAGGTATATAAATTATTTGGGGAATATCTGTGTGTATGTGTTACGATAATTTTTGAATGTGAGAAAAATTATTGCTACCTCCCCTCTCTGTTTCTTAAGCAGAGCACCCCTTTCCTCTTCGAATAGCGACTATAGTTTAGAGAACAGTGGTTAGATAGATTTAAAAAGCGGCTGGGGTTTAAATCCCTTAAATGTGCTCTCCAACCAATAGAATGTCTAAAGGTTGATGCAAGGCAGTCCATTGGGATCTGTGAAGATAGCATTAAAATGTATATTATGTTTCTCTACACGGAAGAAAAATTAAGCTTTACAAATATTTAGGGGTTACACTTTAGGAGTTATTCTTACTTACATGTTATGATGCTATGTAATGTTAGCTGAGGAAAACTGAAGTCTGACAGCACAGAAGGGCTGACTTCATTTGTTGTGTGTTGCAATATACTGAAGTTTGCATATGCCCAGTTAAGAGGAATTTAGATTATATTGTCTAGTTTTAGCTAAACTACCAGTACAAAGTGGACAAGAGACTTAATTAAAGAGAATCCTATAAAGAAATCAGATTGAATACTAATAAGGCAAACAAAAAATAGAGGAGCTGATACATCATCCTAGTATAATTTAATCATTGATGAAAGAAATTGAAGATACAACTAAATGGAAAGCTATTCCATGTTCATTGATTGGAATAATTAATATTGTTAAAATGTCCATATTACTCAAAGCAATATAAAGATCCAGTGCAATCCCTATCAAAATGCCAGTGGCATTTTTTCCACAGAAATAGTAAAAAAAAGAAATTTATAAAATTGTATGGAACCACAAAAGACCCAAACAGCCAGAGCAATCTTGAGAAGAATAGCATGCAAGGTATCATACTTCCTGATTTCAAATTATATTGCGAAACTGTAATCAAAATAGTATGGCACTGGCCTAAAAACAGACACCTAGATCAACGGAACACAACAGAGAGCCCAGAAATAACCCACTCATATACATTCAACCAATTTTTAATAAGGGTGCCAAGAATACACAGTGGGGATAGGAGAGTCCTTTAATAAATGGTGCTGGGGAAACTGGACAGCCACATAAAAAGAATGAAATTGGGCCCTGAACCTACACCATGTACAAAAATTAACTCAAGATAGGTTAAAGACTCAAAAATGTAAGACCCGAAACTGTAAAACTGTGCAAGAGAACATAGGGGTAAGCTTCTTGGCATCAACCTTGAGAGTGGTTTTGTTTTGTTTTGTTTTGTTTTGTTTTGTTTTGTTTTGTTTTGTTTTGTTTTGTTTTGTTTTGTTTTTGATATGACCACAAAAGCTCAGGCAGCAAAAGCCAAAATAAAAAAAGTGGGACTACATCAAACTAAAATGCTTCTTCATGGCAAAGGAAACAATCAAAATGAAAGATAACCTATGGATTGGGAGAAAATACTTGCAAACCGTGTTTATGATAAGAGATACTGGGAATTTGCTTAAAGAGTAGACTTCAGGTGCTCTCACAACAAAAAAAGTAATGATTTGAGGAAATGGATATATTAATTAGCTTGACTGTAGTAGTCATTTCTCCATATAATTATAGCAAATATAATTTTTATTTTAAAAATAAAACATACATAAACAACAATTTTGGACTTCTTTAAATAACCCTGCTGATACCCAGGTGAATGCAGCCTGGTGATCAGAATAAGCAACCTCATCTAGAGCATAACATTTCCTATTACTCAGTTGTTACAGGGGATGAACTAGAATCTGCTTTAAGTTTGAGCATCCCTCACAGAACCTTTTATTCACTGAGTTACTAGCAAGTACTAGAATTCATCTTTTCTGTTCAGTTATTCTATTGTCTTCACTCACTAACACTAATAAATACAGAAATAGAGTAGGCCATAGATAAATAAAAAGCAAAGATTAATAACCAGATTATCAGTCTTTAAAATATTGAATTTTATATTTCGAGATTTCTGAAATTACTGTTAAGCAGCCAACAAAACCAGGTTGCTTTTGGGCAAGTGTATACTCAAGCTCTGAATAATTTGCATGTAAATATCACAAAGAAAGCCAGCATTTCTCTGTGCGATGTAATATTTCCCAGAAGTAGCACATTCATTTAGTCATATCCTTTGGACTAGCGTTTACTTTTGAGAGTTGCTTTTTATGTACCAACCAATCATTTAAGTAGATATATAATTAGAAATTTATAAAAATTAAAGCTAATTTTACTTTAGCTTTGCTAATTTTATTTAATTAATTAGCTTATTTAGCTTTGCTAATTTTAAAGCCCCTACCTTAAAACCCTTAACTAAAAGAGACTTCTGATAATTGCTAACCATTGGAAAAAAATGGTCAGGAATACAAAAAAAAAAAAAACCCTCACGGAAATTTAGATATGCTCAGTTCATAGTACCTGTGTTCATTACGCAACGTCCATTCTGATCATGCACGTGAATGTAATGAATTTTAAAATAACATGCTCATACATCTTCTAGGTTTCCACAGACGCGCAGCTCCGGTCACAAGGAGGCAGTTCCCACACGGCGCACACAGGATGGACTACCTGCACTTTGAGGATGATAGCCGTGGCTGGTGGTTTGACATGGACATGGTGATCATCTATATTTATTCAGTGAACTGGATCATCGGATTCATTGTTTTCTGCTTTCTCTGCTATTTTTTCTTTCCGTTTTAGGAATTTTCACACCTTACTACAGTTGAACAATCACAGATGATGTAGATAACAGTTACTTAAACAAATTTTTTAAATGTGCTTTGAAATTTTTATAATGTATTCTATAAAATGTGGGTGTTTATAGAAAGTCTGAGCATAAATAACTTATTAATGTTTTTTATGTAACAAACTAAACTATCTAACGCTTAGCAAGAATGCACTATTAATTTCATAGTTCTTCATTTAGGATTTGTGGGCTCTAATTTTACAGTGTCATTTTTATACTTATCTTCATTGTAAAAACTGAGATTTTCCTCCACTTAAAAATAGTAAAAATACAAAATGAAATGATAAATATGGATAGATATCAGAAAAAAATATTTAGTCACCACTTACGCTCAGGCAAATTATATGCATTAAAGATAAACCATATTCTCGGGAACTAACCTAACAGGCTAAATTCCATTTCCAGTCATCCCTAATTATGTCCCTTTCTATTACAAAGAAACTGTCCTTTTTTTACAGACCTAATAGTAGCTTTAGTGCAACATTTTTAATTATTACAAGAACAGAATGGTAAATATTTAAAGAGACTAAACCTCACCAATAGAAACTGAGAAATATATTAACACTTTTTGAATTATTACAGGATTACTCACCCGAAGATATAAAAAATATACATACTGATTTTCAGTAGTCTAAAACAGCAATGCATGTCAAAATGTAATTAATGATTAATTTAACTATAAGGTTGTCAAATATAGAGTAACTGTGCAATAAAGAGTGGCTTTTACATTTTTATTGTTATATGTGATATAATGCCTGGAATAAAGATTTTTTGGGCCCTGGCTGGTTTGGCTCAGCAATTAGAGCATCGGCCTGTGGTGCAGAGAGACCCAGGTTCAGTTCCCACTAAGGGCATGTACCTCGGTTGCAGTTTGTCCCCAGCCTTGGTTGGTCATGCGGTGGCAGCCACTCGATGTGTCCCTTTCACGTTGATGTTTCTCTCTCTCTCTTTCTCTCCCTCCCACTCTATCTGAACAAAAATGGAAAAATGTCCTCAGGTAAGGATAAAAAAAAAAAAAAAGAATTGTTGGAAATAGGCTTATAGATTTATAGAAAGAATACTTGGCATTTATTATTGTAGCACTTGAAATTACTTTTTACCTTATTAAAAAAATATAGACATATGTATACACACATACATATACATATGTGTGTGTGTGTGTGTGTGTGTGTGTATGATCTGAATTATCCCAGTGTGGGAAGGAATTGGGGCATGTATCCCAATTTTAAGAGTGTGAAAACTGAAGCTCAGAGAAGTAAGCTTATTTATCTCAGTCACTCAGGTGATCTTTGTATAACCTAGGACAAAAGTTCTTATTAGGAACTACTGATCCAACATTCATATATTATAATGTCATTTATCTGTTAATGCAATATGCATCTTTTTATGTAAGTGAATCTCTCAGTTCACTAAAAATACTACCATCATCCAAACAAACTGGGATGTATCAGGCTTCAGTGGTTCAGTCTACGGAGAATTCAAATATGGCCTCATTACTACTGACCCTATTTGAATAAAGGTTCTTAACTGATGGTATGTGATGTTGTAAGAAATATAAAAGCATGGTACAGATTTTTATTCTAAAACTGTTCTTATTGTGTTTAACATTATGTCTCTAAAAAAAACAGTAGTGTGCATTAGGCATCATAAAATTCACAAGGCAGAAAACTAAATGCAGTTTAGAAACAGATCAGTTATTGCTCATATATCATAATAAAATATATAAATTATGCTTTCAGTCTAGTGACATGTTTTTAAAATAATGTTGTTGACAAAGCTCAGTATTACCTTACAGAAATGAAAATGGATATATATATAATATCTAATTTATCACTCAAAGTAAAGATAATATGACATAGGGAAAATATTGCCTTCCTAAAATATATGTCAGGGCTAAAAAATCAACAAAACACATATGGGGAACAATATTTAAAGAATTTTAAAATAAAGTTTGTTGCAACCATTTCCCAGGCAATTCCTGGTTTATAAGCTCTAGCAAATATGCCTTCATTCATTCCTAAATTACTCAAAAAGTTAATTTTAATTATACATGAAGTAAAATAAATAGTATAGATGCATGTTTCTCAGAGAACAGTGTTGATTTCTAGTATATATTTATTAGGTCAGCGATACACATCACTTTATACAAATACATAATAAATATAAATACATATTGTATTAAATAATATAATACCCTTAAAAATAAAGCATAATCTGAAGGAACATTTTAAATAGATTGACTTTATGCATATTCATTAATAACTTCATATGAGAATTACATCATTTGGCATATTAAAATTAAAAGTAAATTTAGAAAATTATAAATTTCTAATTTACTTTAAAATATTTTTAAATATTATACAAATGTAGTTAACAGCTGCTAAATATTAAGTACAGCATTTCCTAGAGCTATCAGTTTATGACAAGCCAGATAAAACCTGAGCTGAAAGAAACCATTCTCCTTGTATGTATCACATGGTAGCCATTCAATAGATGATTGTTAAATGTATAAATAAAATAAATGAATGAACTTTAGAGTAAAACAGAAAATTACATGTTCTTCTTATTGTGTATTTCACCACATCGGTTACTTAAAGCTCATTTTCCAATAAAGAACAAAGGAGCCCGGCCAGTGTAGCTCAGTGGTTGAGCATTAACACATGCACCAACAGGTCGCCAGGGTACAAGTCCAGGTTTTGGGCCCAATCCCCAGTGGGGGACATACAGGAGGCAGCCAGTTGATGTTCTCTCTCATTGATGTTTTTGTCTCTCTTTCCATCTCCCTTCCTCTTTCTCTAAAAATCAATAAAGAAAAAAAAAAAATACTTAAAAAAAAAAAAGAACAAAGGGCAGGAAAATCCTAAAACTAATCACCTTTTGCAATATTTTTCCTAATTAATATTATTTAATAGTTTTCATTTTTCCGACCTATTACCACCAACAATTTCTATTTCTGCTGGACCTAATTATGGTGAAGGTGATTTTTAAACATTTTACTCATTCTTTTAAAATGCTCAAATTGAAGTATATTTCTGAACACTTTCAGCAGGTGATTTATTTTTTCATTTTACAAAAGAAATTCACAAACCAACATCAATTCATTCACAAACCAAGACCAATTCATGTTCTACTCAGCGGAACCTAGGTAAATTTAAATTAGACAAAATAGAAAAGGAATCAGAATTTATGTCATACAAAGACCCTACCACTGTGAATCACCAAATTAAAGAATGAAAACAATGTTTCTGTGTCTGCTGGGTTACGAACACTGCTCTAGTATTAAATATTAAATATAACAACAGAAGCACTATCAGTTTTACTTTTGCCTTGGAATCTGGCTTCTAAGATAGTTATAATGCCATAACAAAACAAAAAAATGTCATTTAAAATGTTCACTTATGCCTTCCATGTAGCTAAATGAAGACACAATTTTTTGTGGGTTTTTTTTTTAATCCTCACCCAAGGATATGTTTGTTGGTGGTGGTGTTTTGTGTGGTTTTGTTTGTTTGTTTGTTTTGGAGGTATTGTTTGTTTTTAGAGAGCGAGAGAGAGAGAGAGAGAGAGAGAGAAACATTAATCAGCTGCCTCCCACATGCACCCCAACCAGGGAAGGAACCTGCAGTCTCTGGTGTACGGGACGATGCTTCATCCAACTGAGCCATCTGGCCAGGGCAAGACACAGATTCTTAAATTTTTAATTTTTATCTGGGTCATTTGTTAATGAGTGACTTATAGAAGAGTATTCTCCAATAAAATGCAATAACAGTTAAAGTTTCTGTTCATAGAATTCTGAAATTGAAGCCAGAGGACACTTTATACAGTATAGTGTTCCTAAAGTTCTGAATAGCTTTCAGAACGCTTATTTTCTGGAAAATTTCCTGTTTTTCAATAATTCACAAGATACGCTTTTAGTAAGTTCTGTCAATGTCTGCTTATCTCCATATTGCATTTGTTTTCTTTTTCTATTTTATGAAGATACATCTACAATAAGAATTTATTTTTCACATTTTAGTTTTTACTTTTTTTTTTACATAGATCCTATGAGAATTATTATTAGGAAGTATCTTTAGACCAGGGTATTAACATCCTGTTACAGTAACAGGTATCTACTGCAATGTGCATTTATTTTTCAATCATGCTTCTATTTATAGAGTAAGGAGAACAACTAATTGACCATTCCCACTCTTGGTTAGGACCTCTCACACAGTACAATAGATATACCTTGGGACTCATTTTCCTTATTTCAACACTTCTTAAAACGGTGATTGGATTATGATCACAAAGCTTAGTATACCTCCTGCACATACAACCATCAATGTATTAAGAACTATTGAGACACAGTCCTAAGTTTTCCTAACTCTTTCACATTTTTATAGGTCTAAGAGCCTCACCCAAAGAATATCTAGTAAGTACACAGACTGCCTACTAAAATGCAGTTTTATTGACAGCTTTACATGAGACAGTACTGCTCTTGGAAGAACCTGGGATTTTAATTACTTCACAGGTGTCAGCTTGTCTACCGACAAACCATTCAGAAGAGCGAAAGGGAAGTGAGAAGACAGCAGCTAGCACTAATGAAACTGCTTTATTTCTCAGATACCTTGCTGGTCATATGAATATGTTATTTAATCTTATCAGTACCCTTTGAGTAATATGATGTTAACCTCATATTACAGATGAGGAAGATAAGTAATGTGAACAAAGTCAGAAAGTTTTTGATTTGTCTTCATTTCTGACAGATTTCAGTACTTGTACTACCTATACTGTCAGTAATATCTGATTAACTTGATGAAGTGAAATATTCACTGAAGCAGCTTTGGTAATAATCCTGCTAAAGATGCATCGGGAATAAGAAATGGCCTGAATCAAGAGTGTAGGAATGACCCCGGCCAGTTTGGCTCAGCAGTTAGGGCATCCACCTAAGGACCAAAGGGTTGTGGGTTTGATCCCCGGCCCCAGTCAAGGGCACATACCTGGGTTGGAGATTCAGGTCCCCGGCCCTGGTTGGGGTCATTTGGGAGGCAACCAAGCAAATCTCTCTCCCCCTCCCCATGTAAAAATCAATGGAAAAAGATCCTCAGGTGAGAATTAACAACAACAACAACAAAAAGAATGTAGGAATGAACTACTTGCACTTTGTTTATAATAATTTTCATTGCTTATACAATGAAAAACTCCTTAATATCTGCAGGACACTGTTTAATATGCCAAACTACATTTGATAATAGCTTTCTTCTGTATGCCAACTTTGATTGATTGTGGCTACCTAGAATGCTTTATTGAGAAGGATTCTGAGGATGCCTCTTGGCTCCATGGGGAAAAAAGTGTTCTGATTCACATACGATGTTCCCCAAATATGGGGGAAGGAAAGTGATGAGGAAAATTCAATTCAGGTCAGATATTTGCCATCCTTGAGTAAGGGTGCAGAAAAGCATTCATGTTTTAGAAGCAGGTCCTGCCATTTGTTGAGGGGGGAAAATGTAGCTTAGTGATTATAATTAATAACACTATGACATATACTAATTTAGTTATGAGCTATAATTAAGAGTATACTGCTTTCCAGTCCTATGCCTCATTTTGCCTTAAAACAGAACATTAATAAGAACTTAGTTCTGAATTACATATGATTTTTAAAACATAAAAATGTAGCTACAATGTAATTTAATTTTTCATTTCAGAAAAATTTAAACCCTCATAATTGAAAAAAGGTC